GATTAGGTTGTTATAACGGTATCCATACCTGCACCAATTCACCTATCACCTTTATGTATCCCCCATTACACAGGGCTGCGACCTTTGTGCCACCTTCGAGCGATCAAAAACTGGCCAGGACGCTCAATGGTCGCCTAAACCCAGAAAATCACGTTTCTTTGAAACTGCTCCAGCAGTTGTTCAGCAGTAACTGCTCGAGTTGTTCAGCGTCTGCAACCACAATGAAACACTGCAGGTACAAGCCCTATATTTATAGGCAGGCTGAGGAGGCACTACAGGTAGCTCAAAGGAGGCAGAAAAGAGGCAGAAGCATTGCCATGGTGTCTCAAGTGTTGTCGTGGTCGCCGAATGGAGGCACGGCGGTCACCATACTCATCGTTCAATGCACGCTGTTGGTCGCCCAAAGAAGGCACAAGGGAGGCAGAAGCAGATTTACGGGACAGTATTTCAGCAGAACGCATCTATTACCTGGCGACCATTGGGCTACCACTGTGCCTTCATTCTGCAACAACGGCAATGCGTGTGCCTCCCTTCTGCCTCCTTTGAGACACCTTTGAGCAACCAACCTCCTCGGCGACCTTTGTGCGACTGTTTTGAACATGTTCAAAAATTCACGGCGACCATGGCGTCCATGGCGATGTCTGAACCTCCTGTGTACCACCTTGGAACGACCTAGGCAACCATTCTGCCTCCTTTGAGCCTCCAACGACGACCTTGCAAATTCTATGGTCGCACACGGGAGGCACAAAAGTCGCCATCCTGTGTAAAGGCCCCATTATAACATGAAATCATGTTAATCAAGGTATTTAATTTTGCCAACACGTAGCTAATAGTTCGGACGGTCTCATTACCACGACGTGCGGGTGCAGACTGGAATATTGTCGGTGAACTAGATGGAAAATGTATCGTACACGAATCAATGTTATTTTACATATTAATAGACGGATTTAAATATTGCTTTATTGACATCACCCAAAGTTTGGATCCCCGTAGGAGGGCAGAGATGGTTCGTTCATCTACAGCGACCTAAATCGTTACGAAGATTTGTGTCCCTAAGTCATGCAATTTCTGTGATCGTGGGTGTGAATTCCGATTCGCCCTGATTATGATCCCTGGTGTGTCAGTGCCACATCCGAGCTCGTGGGTTTAACCAAAAAATAATGCAAAGTGTCTACGACCTGCGTTACTTCGGCGTTTCCTCCCACACGCCGTATGGAATACTGTTCACAGCGGCATTATATCCAACTCACTCACTGTCAAAAATCTGATCAGATTTGGATCAGACAAACCATCACAGTATCAAAATCGAACCACTCCATCAGGGTGCGCTGACGCGTTGCCACATCTGTATTCAAGAAACGTGAACATGAACTATCTCTACATTATCTACCCATTGCCATTGTGGATCCTCTGAATCGCCTCAAAACATTCATACTAGGAAGAATAAACAATTTATGTCGAATCTCCACTTGTATGTGACATGAATACAATACTTCAAAGGAAAACCATTGCAACTAACATACAGTGTGAAAATATACATGTACAATCAAGACATGATTATTTGCACAATTCCTGGTCAACAGATGTGTGCTTAAACCGTAATTCGGGTATGAAGTATGTTCCCAATTCGGAGCGTTTGTAAATCATGAGATATAGAAACTTTCTTAAATGAACAAATAAAATGGTGGTTTGATCTTTGAGAAATGGTTTGTCGTCTGGCAGCTCATCGGGAGAAGAAGCAGCAAGATTTATGGGCAATGAATATACAATGTTCCTGCAGAGGTAACACATTTCCGTGTGATCGTTCCGTGCACCCGAGGGAGGTGTATTATCTGTCAGCCAGTTGCACTGGGTACCGTGATGTATCGTCTCCTTTGCTCAAAATATGGCCGTTTTTTCATATCACATAGACATCGTAATGGGCGCTCTTGCCACCTTCGTCTGCTAGTTGTAAGTTGGTCAGTTCGTTGTTTTCGCTGTACCGTAAGTTAATACTGATGTTCTCGACTAGTGTTGCCTCTACTACTACTATTACAACAACAACAACTACTACTACTACTACTACTACTACTACTACTACTACTACTACTACGACTTCTACTACTACGACTACTACTACTTCAATGATCGCTGCTGTTAATTCTACTACTACTACTACCACAATACTACTGCTGCTGCTACTACCACTACAACTACCACTACGTTGTCTACTCAGTTACCACCGCTTCTACTAATATTACTACTTATCCTACGTCTATTCGTACATCTATCACTACTTCTGTTATTACTGCTGCAGCGACTATTGGTGTAGAGAATACCACTACCACTAAATCTACGCCTACCACTACTGCTACTACTACTACTACTACTACTACAACTAGACCCGTGAAGATCCGGGGTAGAAAAGGTCTTCAGCAACCCATGGCGGCTACAACGACATCACTACTACTGTTACCGTCAGTGCTACGATTACGTATTTACATTTAAGTCCAATGGACTTCTTCTTCTTCTTCTTCTTATTGTTTAACGGATATACTATTACAGCTGGGTTGGTGTCTGCTGCAGCAAACAAAACTAAACAAGATGACAACATACAGGGCTTATGTTTCACCCTACAGAGACACTCGAATATTACTGAAATTATTTCAGATATACCCATGGAAAATAATTAACCACTTCTAGCATTATATACAATGAAGCTCGGAACAGGAGAAAATATCGGAGTGATGCTTATTGATAACAGAAGTTTAGGAAACGAGAGATTTAGTAATGTATACCACAAATGGCAAAGAATCGAAGTTAATATCTCGAACTTACTTCCCAGTGACAGAGAACCCAAGCCCTTTCTCTGTGTCAGCGACAACATACTGAATATATAGAGGGTATTGTTGAGCATTGCACCATACAACGAGTTCATCAGATACCTCCATGTATCACTGTTCTCGTATAATGTGACATAAAACTGGGTTGTCTTGGTACACTGTCGTAAATATACTCACTTCAGAAAAAACAAAAGAGTAATAAATAGTACGCCATAGCCAAAATCGGGCACAAAAAGAACACTTGTATATTTTAGTCATGTATTTTACAATAATTCAACCGTTGTAAATAAATGTCGTGTGATGGATGTCAATGTGCCACAAGTAGACAGCGCTGGTATTTGACTCTAGGCTTTCCTCGCTGTAACCTGCTGTGCAAAAGAAACTATACACTTGAAAAATGGATTTGACCAAAACAAATGCAAACGTTATCAAGCTGACAATAGTCGCAGAAACACTGCAGACTCTGATAACCGCATTAAATACTTCGCTATCGAATAACTATTTCCTGTTTGTATCATCTTTAGCCACCATCAAACATGGGTGTACTTTCTTTTGCCTGGCAGTTAATTGCAAGGCCTGGCAAACCAGTGATTGCTAGTATCAGCAGCCATAGTACGGTGACACGCATCAGAATGGATCCAGGCATGGATATGATAATGTAATAAGAGGTTAAGGGCCAAATGTTATGTTTAGTTAACATCCATTAAATATATCAGTGTTCTATAAACTGTCAAAGAAATATTTCTATATTTAGAGATAGAAGAATAGTTGCAGTTAAAATATGAGAATGCTTTTATCGTGAATAGCATCAGTTGCATGATAGACATGGTTAATTTAACTTTTAAATAGACAGAAGGGATAAAATCAAACGAGAGCATGTCTTTCCACACCAACGACCGTGGATTGTCTGGCATCGGTTCCAAAAGTCAACTTCCAACATATGTGACCAAAAAAGCGGTAATTACAATACACTCTCAATTTCGCATAAATTAATCTCAACATCTGTCACCCGCTGTTTTATTCTGAGTATAAAAACATATTTAATACACACACCAACCGATAAGAGAAATATTTATAATGATTACTGTCTATTTTATTAGAGGGCTCGTGAAACGTTTCCCCATTCATGATCAGACGTTGTGTGTCCTCGCCACAGCAGTAAACATTTAGCTACCCATGTAGATTTACCGTGCACAACACAACACAAAAACTAATCTCTCTTATAAATCGGCAACACCTCAGGGTGGTCAAATGAAAACAAAACACCACGTCCAACAAATTACCTCCCTTTTTGCAATAAAATATTCACACGTACGAAAGACTAATAAAAACGTCAACGACGGCAACAACATCATTTTCTCACGTTTTCCAACCTCAAATTAAGCATAGATAACGGAAGAATTATCCCTTAATCCAGAAACCTTATCCGCCATTATCAGTTCGGCGTTGGGCAGGTTGCAAGGCTACTTTGAAACCTGATGCCAGAGGTGTCTACTAAGCCAACTAGATCACGTGTAGGCTGACCCGTCCTGGCATGGTCCGTAGACTTGTATATTGCAGTTTTACGCTGTCTTTGATGGTGTGGCGAGGCCCAGGTGGTGCCGTCACGCTTCAAGCATCAAAAGGCAGCTTTCCGCTAGTCGGGGGCCGAAGGGTCATCCTGTTCATGAAAATCTGGTAATGATGGGAGAGAGAGGCGTCACTGTCAGCATGTTTCATTTACAGCGATGCGTGCGCATGTTCCACGTGTGTTTATGCGCACGCAGATGAAATACGTGATGCTCTTGAGTGCCCCATAGTTTCAAAGTATCATACACCAAATCGCCCAACAAGCCTTATTGAAACTGTTTATGAATCAGATATCGGATCGGCGGTTAATACACGGTAATACCTGGTGATTCAAGTTTATTAGTTTTTGCGTGTGTATGGAGGAAAAGATAAAACATACTAGATGCAAGATATAATCTGACATGATATTTTGATATACTCCCCTTCTTATACGTCTCCTCCTACATCTCTTCCCCGTCTGATTCTTCTTCTCCTCTCCTACCTCTTCCTCTTCTGATTCTTCTCCCCCTCTCTACCTCTTCCCTTTCTTATTCGTCTTTCCTCCTACCTCTCCCTCTTCTGATTCTTCTCCTCCTCTCTACCTCTTCCCTTTCTGATTCGTCTTTCCTCCTACCTCTCCCTCTTCTGATTCTTCTCCTCATCTCTACCACTTCCTACTTCTTCATCGGAGTCTGCCCGTGTTGATCAGGGTAGAGAATTTGTATTCAGGAACCCATGCTTGCCATAAGAGGCGACTATGTTTTATCGTAAGAGGTAACTGACGGGATCGGGTGGTCAGGCTCGCTGACTTGGTTGCACAACCAGGATTTCATACATTTTACATAAGAATCTTATCTATTCCCCGTCAGAAATCAAGCACCACAAGAGGTGACTAACGGAATCGGGTGGTCAGGCTCGCCGAGTTGGCGGATGTATGTCATCGTATCCTAATTGCGTACATCGATGCTCATGACATCAATCACTGGACTGTCTGGTCTAGATGCGATTATTTACAGACCACCGTCATATAGTTGGTATATTATGCGGCGTTCAACAGCAAACAAACAAACAAAACTATCAAGCAACGAACATTGTTCAGTATTCAGTTTTCGTTAATCCAGACTGGACGATGACGGTCGGGTTAATGAGGATCTACAATACACCTACAAGCTAAGTATTTGGCTAAACTGTGGATCGCCAATAGTTATCCAATCATACAGTATCCACAAAACAAAGTGTATGTCACCATTTAAACTAGAACCGGTGTTGTGTTATTTACCCCTTTAACTTTTTAGCGCGAATAAGTACTATCTTGTTTTGTGCGGCGTTAAACAAAAAATTATACTTCTCCATCTCTCCTACCTCTCCCTCTTCCGATTTTCCTCCTCCTCTCTACCTCTTCCCTTTCTGATTCTTATCCATCTCTCCTACCTCTCCCTCTTCCGATTCTTCTCCTCTCTACCTCTTCCCTTTCTGATTCTTATCCATCTCTCCTACCTCTCCCTCTTCCGATTCTTCTCCTCCTCTCTACCTCTTCCCTTTCTTATTCGTCTTTCCTCCTACCTCTCCCTCTTCTGATTCTTCTCCACATCTCTACCACTTCCCTTTCTTATTCGTCTTTCCTCCTACCTCTCCCTCTTCCGATTCTTCTCCTCATCTCTACCACTTCTCTTTCTTATTCGTCTTTCCTCCTACCTCTCCCTCTTCTGATTCCTCTCCTCCTCTCTACCACTTCCCTTTCTTATTCGTCTTTCCTCCTACCTCTCCCTCTTCTGATTCTTTTCCTCATCTCTACCACTTCTCTTTCTTATTCGTCTTTCCTCCTACCTCTCCCTCTTCTGATTCTTCTCCTCATCTCTACCACTTCCCTTTCTTATTCGTCTTTCCTCCTACCTCTCCCTCTTCTGATTCTTCTCCTCATCTCTACCACTTCCCTCTCTGATTCGTCTTTCCTCCTACCTCTCCCTCTTCTGATTCTTCTCCTCATCTCTACCACTTCCCTTTCTGATTCGTCTTTCCTCCTACCTCTCCCTCTTCTGATTCTTTTCCTCCTCTCTGCATCTTCCCTTTCTGATTCGTCTTTCTTCCTTTCTCTCCCACATCTTCCCCTTCTGATGCTTCTCCATCTCTCCAACCTCTTCCCCTTCTGATGCTTCTCCACATCACCTACCTCTTCCCCTCCTGATTCTTCTCCATCTCTTTCTCCATCTCGCTCAACACATAAAGAAACAATACATTAGTGAACAAAATCTGGTTGTTCTCGTCGTTATGTCTACGGCGAATTGTTAATAATAATACGCGTCAATAAACAACAGCTTGATTGGTATGTGGTAAATATCCGTTACATGTGCAACGTTTAGTGAATTCATTTGGGCCATAATTTAGTACTCACTCACTCACCCCCTTTATCACTCACTCACACTCATATCAGCAACGGCAAATGTCGCGGAGTTTGCATGATAGGGTCGCGATCGACGCGGTGCAAGTTGGAGATGTGCACAAACAAATGTCCACATGATCGCGATCGTTGAGCGAAATGTACGCGTCCAAAACAAAAGTGGTTGTTTTTAGCAATAGTGTATGAACCTTTCGTAAAATCGTTAATAAACCTTATTTTGAACTTTTATCTCCAAAACAAGTCGAGGTAAAACAAACAATTTCCAATTTCCATAATAAACCTTTATCATAAATCGTGTAGAGTGTGACAGTAGAATCCTAAGAAAATAGAACTATGCTGAATGCTATCAGACAACACTATACAGACAAGAACGAGTCAATGGATAATGAGATCATAAGTTTAACTATACCTAGACAGAAATGCATCGAATTACGTTTTTTTCCTTTGTAATGTCCTCCCGTTGTTTTCCCTTATAATTGTTTACCACCAGATGTTGTTGACCTGATCTTGAAATGTGAAAGTCTTCCTTTTTTATTTCTAGTAAAACATTTTAAGTTCTGATTGACTTCACAATGATGCGCTGGTGAAGAACTCATATAGGAAGTCCTCTGAAGCATATTTGAAACAGAGCAAAGCATCTTATAATTTGACAACGGGTGTCAGATAAAAGGTGTTAATCTAATATATAAGGGAAGTGAGGAAGTGTTTTGGGGTGAGCTCCAGACATAATAAGGAGTGAGGTTTGTTTGACATGAATTTTCATCTGTAAAGAAGTAGGAACGTTTCTTTGTCATCCATTAAACGTGGCACGTGTCTCTGATATAAAGTCTGCGGTTTAATGTTTATCTTTGCACATTGTCAGCAAATCAGCGTGAAAATAATTTCTTACACTTGCAACATGTTTCTATCAGTAAATCAAATGCCACCTGAAGATTTATGTTAGAAACTATTCATTAACGTAAGTTGATTATCCGAATTTTATCAATCTGAACTGACGAATTTCTTTGAAAAGAACAAAGATTTTCTAAAATATAGCCAACACGATAAACTAAGATATAATCCACACTGCTGCGATTTCAACTCCAATTTACGTGCGACACGTTGAAGGCGAACAATCAAAATGTTTTTGCACCATTACGACATTTGTGGAACCATTTTACGACAACAGTTTCCGATGACGACATGTTGAGACCACCTGACAAAGATAGCGTCTCACTGCCAATCACGAGGCCACAAAACCGGTGTAACAGGTTGTTGCTTGCCATGTAAACACGGGCCGGCGGACATTTGATCACTCGCCCGGAACTTTATTGCCAGGAATATGAGGGACATGTGCAGAGCTTTGTCTTGTTCGGCCGAAATCCTCACGTTCTCCACGGTGTTAGTTTGACGTTCCCCCCGTCTCTGGTCGGAATTTCAACATAAAACGACATCCATATGGCCGTGTGGATAATTAATGGATGGACCGGCGGTTTCAACTCTTCTTTTGTTTGTAGATATTTCGGAAAAGCGGGCTTCATCGAATGTCATAGTTTTTTACAACGTAAGGATCGTGTTCAGAATTTTAATGAAACAAATTATATACATTTAAATTCATACTTAGTATCCAGCAAATCTCGTCAATCAAGCCGACGTCCACTCAACAAAGAATACGAGACACGAAAAAAACTCGGTAACTCGAACTCCCCAAACTCGATTTATCGGTTTGACGATGTCACGTTGCATTTCTGCAGATCATTGTCGCTGCTCAAAGTCAGTACTCGAATCAGCAAGCAGTAGCGATCGATCCAGAGGGGTTCGACTCCCACCCGCAACATCTTGGCAACATCCTCCGAGTCATCGCAGGTTCTCTTCTAAGGATCAACACGATTGATCTGCCACACAAATACTCCGGCTCGTGGGTTTCACCCGTGTCACACTGGGCGCTCTTCACGAAAGAATCTGACAAGCTGTATCCCCTGCCCTACACGTGTACTGGAGAGTTTTCAGTGACTTCTGTGTAATTAGTCACGGTGTTTCTGTGATAGGTTTCACTCTGTGCAGGTACATAGGACACGCCACGTTCGTGGACACTAAGCTGATATATTTTACGAGGTTGCGTATACTCGTGTGAATGTACACCGATAGTTACTTTGTTACTCTCTCTCTCTCTCTCTCTCTCTCTCTCTCTCTCTCTCTGTATATATATATATATATATTCCACGCGCGTTGTCTTAAACGCTTCTGGGGGCACGGGGTGGCCCAGTCGTCTAAGGCGCCGCGATTCGCTGTGCAGAGTTGCGTCCCTTGGGCACGCAAGAAACCTATGACGGTTGGTTCGAATCCCGGTTCGCCCCGATTATGTTTCTAGGTTTGTCAGCACCATACCCGTGCTCGTGGGTTTCACCGAAGTGGTAAACGTCTGATACCTGCATCACTTCAGGCTTTCCTCCCACATTAAGCTGACACGCCGTGAAATAACTGGAATAATGTTAAAAGCGGCGTTAAACCCAACTCACTCACTCACTCACTTAAACGCTTTTAAATTAGATAAAACAACTGGTTAATCTGCACCCTGTTAGTCCGGAAACGCCACATCAGAGCGATATTGACCAGAACGTCTACGTGCGCGCAAGACCCGTGAAGATCCGGGTTAGAATAGGTCTTTAACAACCCATCCTTGACGGAACAGGCGATAAAAGGGATCTGGTTTTCAGGCTCGCTGACTTGGTTGATACATGTTATCGTAACCCTTTTGCGTGGATCGAAGCTCATGACTTCAATCACTGGATTATCTGCTCCAGACTCGATTATTTACAACTGGAATATTACAAGCAAAGAACACTGTTACGTACTCATTATTCGTCTATCCGGACTCTGAACGGTAACGTTTGGATTAACGAAGTTCCACAGCATAACTATAAGATTAGTATTTGGTTAAATTGTGGATCACCAATAGTGTTTTATCCAAAACAAACAGTACGCCGCATTCAACAACATTCAAACTATAGGACGACGGCCTGTAAATAATCGAGTCAGGAATCGGACACGATTTTACAGTGATTGATATTATAAGCAACGATGCACGCCGTCGTGGTATGATGAAACGCAATTTTTCAGCTGACCACCAGACCGATCAAATCGCTCCTTACATTCAGGTTCTGTTGCCCCGAATCCATACTTGCGCTTTCTTTCAGTAGACAAGCCAATAGTAGACAATGGGAAAATAATGTACAATAGAATATTTCGTTCACTTGCACACGTAACCAATTGGCCACTGAATTCAATTTGATTTATTTCATCATACAACAGCATTGGCCTTGGTATATATTAATCCCGATAAGGAACAAAATGATACCAGACGTTGCAAAAAGATATAAACTGAAAAAACGTGCAACAGGGTGAAAATGACAATGAAAATGTGGATGGATTTGACATAATGATAACGTCTCAATGTACGTATCACGACTGAGTGAACCCGTGCATCAAGGGTAAAGTATTTAAAGTAATATAACATTAACCTGAAAAACTACTATTCTTGAAGCATGCAGAGTTAATTGTAGTGTTACAATAATTTAGCAATTACCCTTCAGACTGTCGCATCAACATTTGTTTAATTACTGCATGTTTACCACTGCAGCGTGTGACGAGAACGTGACGTGATTACGGCAGGTGCAACGCTTGGGTGACGTCCAACGGTCTATTTTGCAACGCTTTGAACGAAAACTGCCACACCCTTTTGTTCAATTTTTTTTATCTCCCGCGACGGTCAAATATTTACTCAAGACCGATATGATTATGATGATTATGCTGCGATTTAGTCATACCGGGCCGTCCATCACGAGTTATACATAGGAATTGTTTATCTGACGGGAGGAGCGTGACTTGTTGCGAATATGGTCTCTCTTCTCTGTTCCGTCCGTCACTTCATTTTAACAATCAGAACAAAGGATTCTAGGGTATTAGATTTAAACAAAAAGGGACCGACGTGAAAACTTTGTTAAAAACATCTTTTTGACATGAACTCTCCACCGGTTTTGTCACGAAAAGATTTTGCACGGGACAGGTGTAAACACAATTTGAATGGCTGGCATTATTCTTGTGAACAAAGTTGTGATTTAGTTCCCATTTTTTCAAAGTGTATTGAATGATTATTAGACAATCTTCATCCAAATATTAGCCCGTTAGAGACTTTATTTCAATCCGCCAAGAGGTAAATGAGAATATGTTTGTTGAGAGCAATATTTCAATTATCTTTTTTTCGATAAGATGGATTCAGATTGAGTTGAATTGGTTCACAAACAATGGAGGATAAATATTATTTGCAGAGCAGGATAATTGCTGTGCGGGTAATTATTTCATTATACGATCTAAGGGGTATCATGTACAAGCACCAGTGTGAGTTATACATTGCGTATCTGATATTTTAGTAAATAAGGTTATATACCACATGGTCACTGTAGGTTTCATATCTGAATGAATATTTTATCACGCTACCATTAACGATTTCAAAGAAATTAATTCTTCATTTGGTAGATACAGCTTAAATGTTTATCTGTTCATTTCAATTAAAACTCCTGCTTGTATATGTTTGACATCTTATTGCAACATAATTATTCGATTAACTGATTCGACAACATAATAAAGCATTATTATTACAACAAGTACATAATTGTTCGTACATTCGTTCTTGCTGGAAATATATGTTTAGAGCACAAACAAATTTGGTCCGTTTATGTTTTAGGTAACAGAAATAAGGAAGATGAAGTGAGTGAGTGAGTTTTTTCGCCGCTTTTAAGAGTATTTTAAATACATCACGGCATGTCAGCTTAAAGAGGGACGTAAGAGGAAGTGATGCAGGTTTGGACTTTGATGAAACCCACGAGTAGTGGTGAGAAACCTGGAGAGTCTGGAGATGGTAATTTCCTGAAGCAAGATTAATGTGTCAAAATATATCTCAGTTGATGTATGCATCATATACTTATTGTTCAAAACTTTATCAATCCATTAGCCATTATTAGACATAAGTTTGCATTTCATCTTTTTTATATCATTAACAGGGGATCTTTTCCCGTGGGGGGGGGGGGGGGGGGGGGGGTAACCGTAGATACACTCGTTTCTTGGTATCTTAGCATTAAATCACCATTCGAAAAATAATGATTTTTAAAAATATTGCTGTGGACTAATATTTCGAATTAAATATATGACGTCTCATCTTTCTTTTCTTTCTATCATCTACATCAGCATCAATGCACAGTTTTGTATCTGTGAATGTTAACACATGAGACAAATCTATTAGAGGAGACATTTGAGAGAAAGCAATGAAGCTGTGACGTGTCCCGTCTGATCCCATTTTCTGCCATCGACAAAGCATAAAAGAAAATTGCCAAATTAATGAATTGTACTACAGTGATAAAATAACCACCAAAACCCTTTCCGCGATGGATTAAAATACAAAATTCGCGTGTGTCGGTTAGCCATCATTTTCTTTGTCTTGCCGCAGTTTTGAACGGCACGAGCCACAAAATCACGTGATTCACGCCAAAGTCTCGCGCGGACGTGACCGGGGAATATGCACGAGCATTTATGCATTCGCCGCGGTCCAAGACCTACTCCTAATAGACTGACACGCAGCACGATAACTAAACATCTTCCGCGTTTCGCTTCCCTCAAAGTACTCTTTCCAAACACGCAAAATATCCTTAATCGACAGATTAAAACATTTGAGGTCATGGGTTGTTGCTCTTCTGACAAAAAGGGGCAATTTGAGAAGTTGGTGTGTTATTCCTAGTTTTCAAGACAAAACCTGACCAATTTGGAAGCAAAACGGCACGTGGCCTCGAATCACCACGACAAACCGAGCTTTCTGCATCTGCTTGCTGTGTAACCGACGCATGGCGGTCCCGATAGCTCTAACTTTTGAACCTTCCGTTTGTTGTTGATAGTTCATCTTAAATCGATTTAAAAGTCAAAGATATCATGGAATATTGACTTTCCCCCAGACGTAAACGGCCGTGTGTTATGAAATCTAATTGTATTAAATAGGAACATATGTTTTGTTTTGGGGATCGTGAGCACATAATAGTTCTGTATTATTAACGGTTTTGTAAAGATAAGACGGATAACACGCCGTTACATGCCACTGTTACGACAAATAATATTTAGGGTTTACAAATGTTATTTAGTAATAAATACAAATCGTTATAACCGTAGTTTACTGTAATTAGAATGCTTAATGCTACTGTTAATGCGAGGTTAGCGAGTGAATATAGTTTTACGTCGCTTTCCGGAATTCCCCAGCAATATCCGGGGGAGGGAACCAGAAAAGGGTTCCACATATTGGATCCATGTGGGGAATCGAACCCGGGACCCGGGACAAGAGAACGCTTTCACCGCAAAGCTACCCCAGCCCCAAGTAAGAAGTTAAACCCAATTTCACTTCACATTATGTAACGTTTATAGGTAACAATATGGTATCTGTTCAATTTAATCTAAGACCATTGTGATATTGTGCATATCGCGATACAGTGCTTGGATATTCACTCAGTATTTAACTGTACGATGCGTCGCTTTAATGTTTATGCTAATAATTCCTAATGGTATGATACAATCTACACAATTACTGTGTGTAACCCGCGTTTCAGTGGTTGTTAAAGTGTATCTTAATTGACAACATGGTATTCTTATATTCACCCTAACCTTGCCACTTAACAGCACTTGGCATCAAGATCACTTCCAATGTCGCAAACGATATTGTTACCATCGTGTAGCTCAGATACAATACAGGGGATATTAAATGTGTTATTTATTCAGTGTTCTGGGGAATACGACTCGTTATCCACTAAGAAAACCATCCAAATGCAGACGTAATAATTAATATTGAAATATCATTATCAGAATTGTAGATTAAATAGATTAACCAAATCGCGACAAATAACTTCTAATCATTTGCCGTATCGTCCTATACTTATCCTTAAGAAATGGGCCAAAGTTGTATTGCACTGTCTATCGCCTTGACATTAAATATACCTTTTTATCTCATAGTTTAATTAATCATCCTAAATTATAGAGATCAGATCGGTAAATACTCAAACAAATCGATAAATATACTATTTATGCAAATATTGTATGGCTTGCGCTCAAAAGGCCCTTAATCATAGTCACAAAACCAGTTTATAGTGTTCAAAATCGGATGGAAATACTATAAGAAGGAGCGGTAATAATAGTTTTATGGAAGATACTCTCTAATATGCAGACAAAAAGACGTTGGCCAGAAAACCAGTGTCCAAAGTGCATAAAATGAAGACAAATAAAACTAACAATTAGTGGTTAGAGTGTCCGAGAGGTAAATGTGTTGGTATCAGTTGGACAAAGAGGGACGAGAAAGTAGAACCTTGATGATACGGACTCCTTTATGAAATAAACTGCCGGGGAAAATAAAGTATATACCCGCGTTTGATGGTGGCTAAAATGAAACAAACAAGAAATAGTTTTTAGACGGTGATGTATACTTGTGTTTTGGACTTAAGTTTGCAGTGTTGCGGCGACTGTTTTCAGCCAGGTAACTTTTGGATAATGTTTGTACTTTTTTGGTCAAATCAAATTTCAAGTTTACCTGGCAATTTACAATCGTTTTCGATTCAGAGCAATGATACAGTCAAGAAAGAGAAGAAACACCACAGCTGTATTAAAGTTACTAGACGGGTGCAGGTCAGTCTATTATCGTTAGGTATCTTATCGCTTACATGTGTTCCGGCTAGTGCTTTGTACATACATATGTTTATTTGTTGTTTATCGCCTTGTTTATTATATTTTGATGCAATAAATACCGGGGTTGTTCGTGAGTCTACCATGACACCGAGTGAGTGAGTTAGTTGGGTTTAACGCCGCTTTTAACAGTATTCCAGTTATATCGCGGCGTGTCAGCTTTATGTGGGAGGAAAGCCCGAAGTGATGCAGGTCTCAGACGTTTACCACTTCGGTGAAACCCACGAGCACGGGTATGGTGCTGACAAACCTAGAAACATAATTGGGGCGAACCGGGATTCGAACCCACAATCATAGGTTTCTTGCGTGCCCAAGGGACGCGACTCTGCACAGCAAATCGCGACGACTGGGCCACCCGTGCCCCCACCATGATACCGAAGAAAGCTTGATTCTGATTGGTCAAAATACCATT